ACCTCATGATGAGACTGTCATACCTCAGAGGGCAGGTAGGGGAGGGTGGGGAAAGGGGGAGAGATCAACCAAAGGACTTGTATGCATGCATATAAGCCTAACCAATGGACACAGACACCAGGGGGGTGAGGGCATGAGTGGGTGATTGGGGGAGGAATGGGGGAATAAGCACACATATGTAATACCTTAATCAATAAAGAAAAAATGAAACTCATACAATTTAATAGAAAAAAAAAAACACATAACAATATGCATTTACATTTTCCACTATGCAAAGCACAGCACTACAAATGCAAAATACAAAAGAAATGAGAAATGGGACCGCACTGTGTAATATTCTCTTGTGTGAGCACACTAGCAGGATAGAGAAACTTCATGCCTAACAGAATATCCTCTGACTTTTACAAACAATTTCTAAAATAGAGAGGAAAATGTTTCTACTTACTTGTAAAATTGAGTTCTTCTTCCTTCATTTTCTCTATTTTCAGCCCTCTTTATATACTACTTCCCATCAGGTGGTGCGGGGGGAATGGAAACAGGCTGGGTAGTTCAGTTGGTTGGAGCGTCATCTGATGCACTGAGGTTGCAGGTTTGATGCAGGTTGGAGCACATACGAGATTTAATCAGGAAATGCATGGATAAGTGGAACAACAGATTGATGTTTCTCTCTCTCTTCCTCTTACCGCCCCCAATCACTAAAATCAATAAATTAAAAAGAAGGAATGTAGGTGAAGTGTGTGAATTGAATATTTTATTGTTAAGTATTAGTATTGAAAAGAACATGGCAAGTCACCCTTGACTTGAATGTATACACAAAGTCAGAAATCCCTTAAATAACCAAACTCTCCCTGAAGAATATTTACAATAAACATTGTGTAAGGTTATAACTTTAGTGATAAGACAATTAGCAATATTAGCAGTGTATCACTCCCAAACCTTTCAAACAGCTGACTCATCATTACATAATGCTCACATGTATGACCTCTCCCAGAAATTGTTTGAATTCATAAGAAAGAGTAGCTAAGTTTTTCTATTTAGTGTATCTGTGTAGACAAGAAATTCTCAATTAATCAAATTTCAATATTGGTATAGAATCTTATAATGCAAAAATAAAACAAACTTTTCACACACACACACACACACACACACACACACAGATAAAATCAGGAGTTCAGTTCTTAGCAACCCAAAAGTCCCGAGTCCCGAGATAGAGGAGTCTGGAGTAGGTGACAACACAGGCTGTTGCCTCTATAAGCCTAGGTTGTATGCAGGGTCAGGTTATCTAGCCTCTCTGGGCTTCCGTTTCCTCATCTGTAAAGGAACATTGTCCCTACCTGAAACTGACACATTTTAACTATTTAACAACAGTATCTGCACATTATAAGTTATTAATATGTTAGTTATTATTTGCATTATTTGATAATGACCTGAATTAAAGAAACCAGAGATATTGATAAATGAAATTTAAAACCAACAAAATGAATGGAGCTGAGGACTCACATATCACTGCACTTGCCTTTACATTTCTGGTGCGTGTCTATTGCAGATGAGGACCCCACAATCCTGTTTTGGCCTCAGATGACACACTATCTTGTCCTTGTCCAGTTGTTTTATCTCAGCAGATTTCAGTGTGACATGTGCACTGTCAGGGACACAGAACCCTGTCTTCTCAATACCATGTCCAGCGATCCCCTCAGAAAGGCAGATACAGATGACGACATCATTTTTTACCTTCATCCCACCTCTTATCCAGTCTTAGTTTCTTTGCTTGCTACCAAGCTCCCAGATTTGTCCTAGATTCAAGTCTTCAGACCTCTTCCCCTAAAAGGAATAATAAGCACTGACTCGTTTCTTCACTAACGGAATTAAGTAATTGTCACCCCACCCATTTTTTAAAAATAGTAGATTATTTTCTCTCCTTCCATAGCATCATTTCTTAGCTAATCTAATTGACTCATCATTACCCTGTCCATTTACTTATAATAGGAAATTGTTTCTTTCTTCTTCCTTTCTAATTCTAAATGGAAACCAATTGACAGTAACTTATGATTCTTTCTTTCCTCTGTCCTCATCTAATTTGGAGCATCTTCAATTGAATGTCAACAACCATCAGAAAAATTGCTCCCTTCTTTGTCTTCCCTAAATATACCTGGGGCATGAGTAGTGGGGGAGGATTTCTGGAGGAGCGGGCACAGATGCCAACTTGGAAAGCTGACTTTTCATTGATATGACAAACACTCTGCTTTCTTATCAATATTATAAATCAAATAAAAATGCAATTTTCTACATAAAACAAAACTCCCCCAAAATGGGCTATTATCATAGATGATTATTTGTGTTCATCTATCTTCCTTACCAATGGGCATCATCTAATCCACTGAGGGCCTGAATGCAACAAAAAGGTGGGAGAAAGGTCAATTTGCCTTCGGTTTGAGTTGGGACATCCATTTTTGTCCTCAGACATTGGTGCTTTTAGTCCTGGGGCTTTCAGGCAGAGAGCAGGACTGACACCACCAGGCTCCCCAACCCACACTCTCACTCACAGGCCTTCAGACTGGAGCTGAATTACACCACAGGCTTTCCTGGTTCTCCAGCTTGGATATGGCAGATTGTGGAACTTCTTGGCCTCCATCAACAGCATGAGCCAATTCCTATAATAAATATAAATTTTCTATTTGTTCTGTTTCTCTGGAGAACCCTAACACACTGAATGACAGAATGGACAAGCAGAAAATTTAGTCTCAGATGAGATACTCCTGAAAATATTCTGGCCTTGGAGACACACAAACAAGTGTGTGCAGCTTGGGAGATTAGAGTCAAATACACGCAGGCCCTGGTCATGTAGAACTGTGCTCCACAGAAGCACAGAGGAAAGTGCTGAGGCCACCACAATCCTTTCATGAAAATACCACTTCGTGAATGGCTCATCCGGAGTACAATTCCAGTAATAGTTCTACCTTGATTTGTTTTGTGATCTTAAATAATTTATTATCTTCTGTCATTCTACTTCATTTTCTACATCTATAATAGGACATTTTATCAAGGTGCCATACAGTCACCTTAGCTAAATATGCTGTTGCTGATGAAAATAAGTGTTAATGTGCCGCTTGCTTGGAAATATATTTTGTGAGAAAAAACTCAAAAGTATTTTTTAAAACAGGATTATTCCTAAAACAAATGACAATTAAATGCAAGTGCATGAGCAGAGCATAAAGTGCTGACAGCTTACATTTATAGAAATTCAATACTTCTAAGTAATTCCTGT